TTTATGACCCATATTGCTATAGTACTTGTGATGTTTTGGTAGCGTCATTTAAAGTTCTCAAAGGTTTAGAATTGAGAAGTTCTAAATGAAAGTGTCTTATCACAAGGGCACAATCACGTATATGAGAACCTACCTATGTAAGTTCGAAGTTTAGCCGCTTCAAGAAGTCTAGTTGGACATATAGACTTTGATGAACTTATGATAGATACGGACACATGGCTGTTTAAAGGTGTCAAGTGATGATTAATTCGATTTGTCTTATGTGTACTTCACCTTCGAATGATTGGATATATCCGCGTGATTCAATCCATATGGAAATCATGGGATATGATCATCGTTAAGTGTGTTGTACTAGGTGTCAATTCAATCCGAAGGGACATTGACATTGATGCATGAGATGAAGCTTATTTGATGGAAGTAGAAAAAGGATTTAAAGGAACACTCTAAATGGGGGAGGATTGTTGGATTATTTAGAGTGTTGTAGTGGAGAGATCGCTCCACTTGTTAGCGCGCTTGTGAAAGACAAGCGCGGACCGCTCCTAAAGCGCGACAAAATCGCGCTGAGTTTCTGGAAAATCTGTAAAGTTTAGGAGGCGCGCCCGCGCCTCCGGATGGCGCGCCCGCGCCATGGTTAGGCGCGACCCGCGCCTAAACCGCGACAAAATCGCGTCAGGTTTCTTGAAAAGTTGAAATTTTGGAAGAACGAGGAGGAGCGCCCGCGCGAGCAAGTGGCGCGCCCGCGTGCAGGGCTGGCGCGCCCGCGACCCATGGTGGCTCGCCCGCGCGGCTGTGGTGGCGCGCCCGCGCCTCTTAGCTCGCGCCCGCGCCTCCTCGCTCATCTTCAGTTTTTTACGGTTATTTCCTTTATATCGTAATGGGGGCCTTTGTTTTCAGTGAGACAGAAAAACCATCCTCTCTGAAAATTGTCCATCTCTACACTTTTATTGAAGAAACTTGCAATCTCTTCAATAATTCTTCATCTTTTAAGTCTTTTGTTTGAGAATTTGATCATCTTTCTACACATCTAAGTGCTTAGTGTGTAGTGTTCGTCTATTGTATCTCAAAGCGTATTTCTAGTTCAACCCAAGCACCTTTGTGGGGGAAATTAACGCTTTAGGAAAGTGTTCACACGCCTTAGACGAGTATCAAGAATCGAAGACTCACGTGGTCCATGGTATTCTCATGTTCTTGGTTGTTCTTTTGGCTTGGAGTGAGGCAAGTATAGTCTTTCATACTTATAGTTTAGATTGATTTTCTGTTTTTGTGTTTTCTAAACTTGTTGGTGTTTGGTTGGTGGTGTAATTTGTAGTAATCTACTTATAATTTTCTGTTTTCTCAAATTCTAGGGTTAGAATTTGTTCTTGCAATTTCATTGAATTTATAACACTGAGGCATCTCTTCCTCTGACGACTCTTCGGAAGAAGAAGTGGACTGCAACAGAAAGTAAGGGCAGAGAAAACATCAATTGCAAAGACAAGGAGAAGAAAAGAAGAGTAAACCCATGCACAGCCGAGGTATGGCACTTAGAGAATTTCAAGATTTTTCACAAGATGAAGAATTAAAAGGAATACTCTGCAAAATAGGCAAGAAAGTTCAGAAAGACTTACCAAGCCTCCCAGACGTTCCTCGTCTGATGCTGTGAGCAGGTTCGGCGCAGGGGCATTCGTAGATGGCTCGACCCCTGCTCTGGCAGCAGCTGCAGCGGCAAACGCGTGTTCCTCGGGACCGAGTAGAAAGAAAGGATCCCTTTTGAGGTACCACGGTTTTTGGGCCGAATACTCAGCAGGCCTTACAATATCGAGCTGGGAGAGGCGCAATGCAGGAGCTCTCGTAGGAACGGGTGTGATAGCTGGATCCCGCCTTGTGACTTGTCGAGCCGCGTTAATCCCAAGCTTGTTGTAGTCCAGGCCGCAGTTTCCCTCGTGCAGCACTGAAAAACCAAAAACAGAGAAAAGGTTACTCTGCATGAAGGGAAAAGATGCATACAAAAAGAAAGAAGCAGAAGGTATGCAAATTAAAAGCCTTTGGCCCCAGCCGAGATTCTCACCATCTTGAAACTTTCGGCTGAGGCCGACAGCTGCTAATATCTTCTCCTGGAAGATATAGTGATAGCAGGGGAGCCATGTCTCAGGCGTCCCATTTCCCCGGGCTCCCCTCGCCGAAGAGTCCCTATTGAATAGTTTCAACTGCTCTCCTTCCTCGGCAGTGAACTCATCGGGACCAAGGACGCTCATCTTAGGGTCAGGCCTTCTCAGATGCCTCGGCCCTCCATAATAATTGGGGTGTTCCTCCTCGGCAGGAGCCCTCACCCAGATCCACTGGCCCCTCCAGTCCTTATCAGAGGTGTCATTCGGCCAAGTGGTCAAAAAACCCTTCTGGGACTCTATTCTCCACCAGCCAGGCCCATGGTGCTCATCAGACTGCTGATTCGGGACCAGCCTGTGCAGCTTCCTAAATACTTGGAGGCTCGGCAGATACCCGTAGAAAAGGCACACCCATAAGTAGGTTACTACCCTTCGGATGCTAGCCGGGGTTATCTGGCACAAAGAGATGTTGTACCCGTTCAGCAGTTGAACAATGAATGGGTGAAGAGGAAACCTCAGCCCGAACTGCAGCTGTCTGGTGTAGACGCCCAGATAGCCCGGAGGTGGCCTGTGAATTCTATCTTCGGCTACTGGCATCCTGCACCAGTACCCATCTTCTTCCATAACGCCGTAAAATATCTCAAGTTGTTCGGCGAAATGGTGAAGAGCATCCCCCTTGACCCACCAGTCATAGGGGGCCGCAGTTGTAAGCCCGCAGTTCTCAGGCGGGTTATGCCATTCCTCGGCACCATCCGGTAACCGCCGCGGCCCATGCACAGCGCCGCTGTTCGAAGTTGTAGCCTCTTCAAAGCCTCGGTACGGCACCGAGTTTAGGGGAACTGCAGCTAAAGGGGCCTCGGGAGGAGACATTTCGCTTTCCCTCCTCGGCATTGAAGTATCTCGGCTATGGCTCAGAGGGGGCATCCGCTGTAAGGGCTGGCTGCGCCGAGTCCCCAAAACAGTCAAGGGAAGATCTTCTCCCTCGCTAGAAGAGTTCTCTCTCACAGTTCTACTTCTGACCATGGTTTCAGAAGAGGGTTGTCTAAGAAAACAAAAAGGGCGTACTACTCAAAGCAAGAGAAATCCGGGGAATTTCGGAGAAAAATTACCTTTTTCGGACTCGGAATTCGCCGATCTTCAGAGTGGTAACAATCAATTCAAGCTTCAGATATGGAAGCGCAGAGATTAATAGCAAAGAAGACTAGGGCTTGTAAATGGGTTTCGCACTTCGTGAAGGAAATTTGTGTGTTTGTGAGAAATGATTAAAGAAGGTGGAGAGGGCGCTTTGTATAGTGGCCCCTGAAATCAAGAATTTCAAGAGTCTTGAACCGCCAAAAACCCCACAAATTCCAGAATAGTCATACATTTAGCACACGTCCTAAATTAACCGCCCATTAAGCTCTCAAACTTCCCTAATTAATCTCCATAAATGACAGTTAAACATCATTAACTACCCTGATTCTTTCAAGGCACAAGTTGTCGTTATTTGTCCCGACAAATTCACCATTCAAACCCAACCCGTCTTTCAGCCGAATCGGGTCTGGGGGGCAAGTTGTTTGGGTCCAATTTCATTTCTCCAAATTGGGCCAGTCCAAATAACTCATCTCAAGCCCAAAGCAAAGGTCAACATCCTCCAGATCATGCTAAGGTCAGTCAACGGCCCAGTCAGCTTGGCAAGCCCAATTGACTCCCGGGCCCAATCATCATCCTTCATAAACCAAGGTATAAAAGTCATCAATTTGGTCCCTTCAAGGTAAGACAACAAAGCCTCAAGCGACAAAACTCCTGCATAGCTTTCTCTCTCTAATATACTGACTTTAGCATCGGAGGGGCCTTCCTCGGCTACACCCCGGGGGCTAGTTTACGTGTATTTGTTGTGCAGGAAACCCTCGGCTCTCCCGTAATTTGGACCGAGATCAAGTTCCCCCATGATAAAAGGGCCTTCCGAGGTCTCATTGTTTTCATCCGAAACAATTAGTATTTTTAAATTTTGAGATTGGATTAAATTATGGAGTAAAATAAAAGAAAAACAATTCATATTTCTAATCTTCTAACGATTAATATTGGTATTATTACGTCAAGCAATCGGTGTTTCTCGGTTTTGCTTTGGATTCTTGGTGAGCAAGCAAGCAATCTTCGAATATAAACACGCTTTCAGCTACCGAGTTCAGCTCCAATTCTTGAATTGCCTCACTCTTTCTAGCCAGCTATGTCAAAAATCAAACATTCAAACTTCGAATAATTTGCCCATCATCTCAATTCCAGAGATTTTTACCCTTGGACAAAGAATATCGTTGACGACTCCCAAGATTTTAGTACAAAAACTGACAAGAGGAGCACTTCCAAAAACCTTGAATGTCAAATTTAATAAAGAGCGCAAGACGACATTTTCAAAATTTTAATTCATTCTCAATTTACAATTTCGATTGTCAACTTCCAAATTCTCAATTTAGATTTTTGGTTATTTTTCTTTTTTCCTAATTTATTTGATCGTAGTTTCAATTTTATTTTTTTTTATATTCATTAATTGAAAATTATTTTTATAACTAATTCTAATCTTTATATACAATGCAAAGCAACATAACATAAATCACAAGAAAGATACCTAAAAATTGATTAATAGGTTCATCTAAAAAAAAAAAAAAAAAAAAAAAAAAAAAAAACAAAAAAAAAGAGCTAAAGAAGAAGAAAAAAGAAAAGGAAAAAAAAAAAAACGGTACACTAATAAGAGCTTAAAGAAAAAGAAAAAAAAACAGAGTAATATCCAGGTCAAACTACAAGCTGCCTTCAAGGAGTAGAAAGAAAACAAGTCAAAAGCTAAATCCCATCAATTTATCATGTGAAAGAAATTTGTATTGAAAGAATGGTTAGAAAAATTCTCTATAATCATCTAAACTTATGTACACAAGAACAACATGAGCTATAGACAGGAATATATACACACGACGAAAATTAAAAGGCGACAACTACAAAGAATACAACAAAGAGTAAGCTAAGAGAAAGATACAACAAAAATCCAACAAAATATAAAGAACATAAGCAACAACCTCTGGGAGCTAAATCCTACTTCGTATAACATAGCATCCAAATATTAATTTCCAGAATATTGAGACTTTTTTAAGGTTCTCAAGCCATACGCATCATCAACCACAACACTTGTTTTCATGGATAAATTTCCAACTAGAACGTAAAAACTGAAAAGACAGCTAACACCTAAACGGTAAAAGGGCGGTGTGATGTTTTGCAGGATCCGGACACCATGCATACGACTTCAACTTCAAAACCTCAAGGTAATGTTAATCTCCAAAGAGCCTCCCACTCCAGCTTCAGTCTCTGAGTCAAGGTTGCCTTCAACAACTACAAACAGATAGATTTCGTCAGATAATATTTAAAACAAGAAAAGGGAAAAAAAAAAAAAAAAAAAAAAAAAAAAAAAAAGATTCTAAGATTGAACAGACATAAACCAAGCATTAATATTAGGGGCCGTTTGGTTCGCAGTAATAATCAAAGGGAATGGGATTCCATGGGAATCATTCCCTTTGTTGTTTTTTTTTGCATTTCTATCATTCCCTTTCCCCTTTGATTACCCAAAAAGCTTCTACTCCCATTCCCCACCCCCCCCTAGCTTTTCCCATTCCCTTTCCCCAACCACCACCGTACCCACATCAACCACCCTCACCCAAGCCACTTCTCGCCGGAACTTCGCCGCCCCTCACCGGAATCTCGCCGTCATCCCCCTACCCTCGCCGCCCCTCACCGGAATCTCGCCGCCCCTTCTCTCACCGGAAAATCATTCCCTCACCCACGCATAACCCTCCCCTCCACTTAGATCCGTCGGCCGCCTCTCCCCCACCCCTCGCCGCACCACGGCCAGCCTCGTCATTGACCCATATGCAGCTTCTGGTTGTCTGTTCCCCCTTCCTCCACCTCCACCTCCTCCATTGACCCATATGCAGCTCGAAAGCAAAAGTCACCCAACTGCCCTTCATCTTCCTAATCCAGGTTCCAATGGTTTTTTGGGGGAGGGATGAGCTGTGCAGGGGTGGGGAGAGGTGGCGTAGGGCGGCGAATGGTGGGGGAGGTGCGGTGAGTGGTTTGGTGGATGGATGGTGGCTGGAAAAGGTGGAATTAGGTGGTGGTGTGGTGGTGGTATGGTGGTGGGATTTGTTTCCCTTTGTTATTAAACAAACAACATAGCAAATTTCAAGGGTTTCATTCCATTCTCCTCCATACCCTTTCCCCATTCCATTCCGATTCCACTTTACGAACCAAACGGCCCCTTAGTATATTACTTCAAACATTCCCATGAGTAAAATTAAAAGTAAAAAAAACCAGATTAGCCAATATATTTTGCAAGCATGTCTCCTGAGGCAGGACAATAAGCATGACCTTCAAGGACTCGTTAAAAAAGCCACAGAACAACCTATTAGAGCAAACGTTCCTACAAGAATTATATAACAGCAGCATTGTATAGCAGACTTTGGATCAAATTTTCAAAAATTCTTTGAAGTCTATCATGGTTTGTATATCATAGGTTGACAGTACGAGGCTTGTACGTTATTACCACAACAAAGTTGAGAGTTTTTACTATGCTTGGTATATTCACATTAAAATGAGATACATGAATATGACCAAGTTCAAGATCCTACTATCTTTTGCTACAAGTATATTATAACACCTAGTCCTTACACGAGCCTTTCCCAAAGACTTGATATTATAGCACAAACCTTCATAACTTGCTACCTCTAGCAATGGCTATGCCTATCGCATCTATCAAGTCTAAGAATCATTACGGAACAGTTTAATAAAGCAGCAGGCACGAAATTTTGTAGAATTGATAGAAGAGAAAAATCCAATATTAATATTAATTCATCAGAAAAAACTCCCAACATTCAAAACTTATAGGAGATGATAAAAGATGTAGGTATCATTCATGAGATTAGCAACATCTACAGACAAATAAATCTCCGAAATAAATGGATAGAAAATAATAATTAAATGTTATATAACAAAAAGTTTCATTCAGTAGCTTCTAGTCCAGTGTAAGTTGTAACAACAAACAAAAGACCAACTTAATTATGATGTAAAGAACCTACAATCAACAAAATCTTCATATTCATTCAAAAATCAAGTACATCAAATAAAAGTCTAGATCATGCAAATAGACCTGTAACACCAACTGAAGAGTATACCACGATACCCAGGCCACAACATATTACATAATGGGCGAAGAAATTAAATGAGTACTGTATAGTTTGCAGTGCAATAGGTAAAATTTCACTATTTACACCAAAATAAGATAACCTGTAGGAGCTTATTAGAAGCCAATTACAATTCAAAATGAAGAGCAGATCAGCATGAATTGAGCAAAAAGACACATATAACACCACTCAACAGTTGATCATCACAAATGCACGCGCACGTACGTCGTACACACACAAACAATATTTGGTCCTGTCTTATAAAACAATATTGGAGTAACCTAAAGCTTTTTCATAGATGACCCTTAATCACATATCTATAAATTAAAATAAGGATTTCTCAATGCTATACTGTTAATAAATAACAAAGGTTTATAAATTCTATACTTGAATGAAGCAGCAGCACGTAATAAAGTTCATTTATAAAGTTAACAGAAATGAAACAAAGATGGCTCGGTGGATAAAATGGCATGAGAGGAATAAGAGATGGTAAATGACTTACCTCCTACATAAGAGCAGAAAAGCACACCCCAGAAACATAAGGAACATGAGTGACTTAAGAAATGAATCATAACTTGTGACCCAAAAAAGGTAGAAGCTAAGAAGCACAGTGAACCCCAGTCATCCAGCCTCAAAAGCAAGCATAGTAGTAAATATCAGCTATTCAGAAGTTATCCTCCTCCTCTTCCCATAGTCAGCATCTCTAGATCTTGGACGCTCTTCTTCTTGGGACACACGGGACTTACTATGAGTCCTCGATGGCCGCCTCTCCCATTCTTCATCATAATCTGCTTCACGGTCCCTGTACCTATGATGATCAGCATATCTATCTCTGTCTTCTCTGTAGCGATCCCTGTCCCTTTCTCGCTCACGATCTCGATCACGAGAACGCTCACGATCACGGTCGCGTGAGCGTTCACGATCACGGTCCCTCTCACGGTCACGGGTTTCTCTGTCATCACGATGTCTTCTATCCGGCCATTCATGATCGTGTGCTGCCTCTTTCTCCCTAGGTATATCCCTGTCATATCCAGGCTCCCTATCTTCCCGATACTTCCTATCAGAAGACCCTGAAAAGTCTCTATCAGGAACCTTTTCTTTAACAGGATTCTGCCAACCAGTCCGGTCGTGGCTTGCCTCTCCATATTGATGGTCAGACACAGCTTCTTCCCCATAGCTGGACTCTGCAGCTCTCCCAGCATGCTCATCACCAGCCCATGCACCCATATTGGGATCAGACCACATACCCATATTAGGACCATCAACACCAGCATTAGGCATCATTCCCATCCCATTCATGGGCATGCCTCTTCCAAAGAATGCAGGATTCACATGTGGAGCTACTCCAGGCAGGCCAACATTACCCACAGGTGGGAAATTTGACATTAATCCTTGAAATGGAGGTTGAGGTCCACCCGGGAATCCACCATAATTGCCCATTCTCCCCATAGGCCCTCCAAAACCAGGATCAAAACCTTGACCCATCATGGCTTGAGGATGCATCATCGGAGGAGATGGCCCCATACCTTGACCAAACCCATTGCCACCATTTCCCATAATACCTCTTCCAGCCATCCCACCAGCAGGCCTGTTTCTTATAGGTCCAACTGGTCCCCTACCACCCATGCCTTGAGGATTGCCTCTCCCCCAACTGCCTCTCATAAAATTCCTGTTTTGATCCCCACCTTGGTAATTGCCACCAGTTGATATGTTGTTCCCAGTTGGCTTATTTCCACCCTCGGCAGGGCCTCTCCTAGGTTGTGAAAGTGTTTGTGGTGTCGTCTGTTGATTTCTATTAACCTGTGCCTCACCCATCCTCTTGACAGTAAATGGAGAAGCAAATGCAACAACACATGGCCTGCCATTGAAAACATGTCCATTCATTCCCTCCTTACAAGCTAAAGCAGCAGCAGCATCATAGAACTCAACCTGGCAATATCCCTTCGACTTCCCACTAGCTTTTTCATCAAAAAACTTAACTTCTTTAACATTCCCATACTTGACAAGCTCAGTTTCAAGTTCTGCATCCGTAGTCCACCAATGCAAATCTCCAACAAAAAGAACATTCCCACCACCCCCTCCTCCACCAGCACCACCCATACCAGCACCCATTGGCGTAACTTGCACAGCAGAACTTCCTGTTCCACTCATGTTCCCAGCAGTCCCATTCACAACCCCACCTCCACCACCCTGTCTAACAATTCCCTCATTTCCTACACTCATCCCATGTGGCTGCTGGGGTTGACTAATCCCTTGAGGTGGCATACTATTAACTGCTTGCTCATCTACATCACCTACTTTACTCGAATGTGGCCCTAACTCAACCCTCAGTCCACCTCCATAACCACGCCCTGCACCAGACACCCCAGCTCCTGAACCAGAACCCATACCACCATTAGGCTGTACAGGGCCCTTAACATCACTCCCTCTTAAACCCTGATTCTGAAACCCATCTACTCTACCCACATCACCCTCAAACTTTCTCTCTCCCTCACCCTGCCCGACACCCGGAATCGACAACCCATCATCCTCAGACAAAAAGGGGGGTGGGGGATGCTGAGATAGAGACTGAGACTGAGGAGGTTCAAGCCTACTACTTTCACCATCATTCCTAAACCCTACTTCCTCATTTTTCCTCAAAGATTGCAAAAACCCTTCTCCTACATTAACATCATTATAAAGATCCTCGTAATCATCATCTTCCTCACCAAAACCCTCATCAGTAACTGCAGAAATCGCTTCATTACGATGGAATTGCTCCACCTGATCTCCTCCCCCTCCTCCTACCCCTTCAGCATCATCCATCTCTTCCCCTTCTTCTCTAAACCTCTCAAATTGTTAAAACTAGGGTTAGCTTAGTGATTTCTAGCTAACTAACGGCAAAATTAAACAAATTTAGCGCGAGAAAACAGCGAATGTTGCACGCAATTTCAAACAAATTAAATCCATAAACCAGAAACAACAATAAAAATTGAAATTCTAGGGATTTGACTTACCAGAAAGGGAAGAAATTGCAGACGCGAGTGTTGGATTGGAGGGAAAAGGGAGAGAAATGAAAGGGAAAAACGAAGAGAGAGAAAGTTTGGAAACCCTAATCTGGAAGATTGTGTGTGATTTGAAAAGAAAAGGAATAAATTAATTTAACAAAAAAAAAAAAAAAAAAAAAAAAAAGGGATTTTCGAGAAAGAGAGAGAGATGGGTGAAAATTCTGATCCATTGTGTCACGAATCCAACGAGTTACGACTCAACGAGTTAATGGTAATTTTTTTTTTTAGGGAGAGTTGTTGGTAATTCTACGAGCAAGCCCCGGTTTATCACTTTGTCACTTTTTTATACTCCGTATTTGATTTTCAAAAAAAAAAATGTAAATCAAGTATATAAACAACAATCAACGATTATAGTATTTTGGTAATAAAATAATAATTACAAAGCCACATTTAATGAAAAGTTGTTAGTTTGGAATTTATCGTAATTTTGCTCTTTATGTAGTCATGTTTCACAATCACAATCAATATTTGGAATTCAAGGCATGGATTTAAACTGGGATTACTCAGTGATGTCATAAATTACTCATGTCGTCTTAATAAGTGAATGTATTACCGTTATTTAATCTTCATCCCACCTTACTTTCTAACCCAACCTTTTTAAAGCATGGCTGAGTTGAATTGAGGTGAATGGAATGAAGAAATATTGTGTTCATGTTTATGCTCATTTGAGTGGATTTGTATTAGGTGACCCTTAATTTTTGCAATTTTGATTGTATCATTTGGTGTTTCACGCTTGGCAATAGAAAAATTTGGATACTAATTTAAGAGAAGGTGTTGGGTGCGGACGTTTGCACGCAAATTTGGTGCGGGAAGCTTGGCTGATATATTTTACTTGTTGGCTGATATGTTTCATGTGTTGGCTGATATGATTTTTGTGTTAGCTAATATATTCCTTTTGTTGGCTGATATGTTTTTTTTTTTCCCTTTTGTTGACTGATATCAGACATCATTTGGCTTATATGTTTCTTTAGTTGGCTGATATATTTATTTTGTTAGCTGATATGTATATTTTAATTGTTGGCTTGTATGTTTCATTATGTTGGCTGATTTGTTTATTTTATTGGCTTACCTGTTGCTTTTGTTTGCTGATTTCATCCTTTTATTGGCTGATATGCTTTATTTGTTGGCTGATATGTTCCGTCTCTTGGCTGATAAGTACCTTTTGTTGGCGAATATATTCTTCTTGTTGGCTAAAATGTATCTTTTGTTGGCTGATAGTGTAATACCACGTATTTTTGAAACGTATTTTCTAATTAATTAGTATTTTCTTAAAATGGTATTTTAGTAATTTATTTTACTCACTAGGCGAAAACACGTAATCCGCACCAATTCAGTACCCCCATTTAGCACCGGTTTTGAACCGGTCCTGATTTGGGGGGTGCTAAAACCCCAGACATTTCGCACCGATTTTGTCTTAGTAACGGTGCCAAAAGTCTCCAAAAATATTTTAAAAAAACTTTTAGCACCAGTTCTTTTCCAAAACCGGTGCCAAAAAGTGCCCCAAAAAAATAAGAAATAAAAATAAAAAAAAATTTGCATTTTTTTTACTTAAATTGTACTAAATACTTATATATAATCATAATATATATAAAACACATATATTTTCTTCAATATTTGTGTCATACATCTGATGGAGCTTTATCATCATCACATGAAAAATCAAGCTCAGAAATGCATATTGAAGCAATGAGGGCAGCATATACCACAAAGTCAATAAAAATAGAGTACCTTCCTAACCAGCATTAAAGAGCACTACATCTTTGATAAATAAAATAAAAACTAAGGCAAAAAAACAGCAGACTGCAGCAGCTCCCACTGACCCCAAGCCTGCAACAGAGAATGAGACAGCACAGCCACACCACGACCAGCAACCCCAGCAGCAGCTACAAGCAAAACAGTAACCAGAAGCTACACCACGACTAGGCAGCCAGCACCAGACCCAGCACGAGCTGTCAAAACCAGCAGACCAACAGCACAACAGTGCAACAGCAGCACAAACATACAGCAACTTGTCAGCAAAGCAGCACTGAACACAGCAGCGCAACCACAACAGCAGACAGCAGGCAGAACAGCAGAACAGCAGGCAGCAAACAGCAGACAGCAAACAGAAAGCCAGAAGCTCAGACCAGGCATCCTAACAGCCTGAACAAGACAGAAACACACACCACCAACAAGAAACACAGCAACACAGCACCAGCAAGTCAGGCACCAGCACAGAACAGGGCAAACAAGCTGAAATCCTGACCAGAAAACCATGACAGCAGCAAAAAACAGACAAAACAGCAGCCTAACATACAAAAAACAAAGCAGAAGCTAAAACAGAATGCTACTCTTTGAGTTCCTGCAGCCACTTGCAATGCTGTCTCGACCATTTCTTACCAATCACTTGCTGTCCTCTCTCGACCACACTTCTACAAATGTCAGTACACACCCTTGGGGTTTTGGTTGCTGTTTTGTGTTAGCTGGTATAAATCAGTATACACCATGTAGTAAAGAGTAGTGCAAACTTGTAATGAAACAGATTAAGATCGATAGAAGCAAAAAAAATAAAACACATACCACAGTGCATTCTACACAAGACCCAAAAACCCAATGCTCCACCAACTGTAAAAATCCCAGCTGTTTGTCTCATTAATCTTGAGCAAGGCTTCGCATCTGATCGCATGAGCTCACCATCAGACCACCCAAGAGCATGTCTCAACGCCATCAAACAATGGTTTCTTTCAAACCTAGCTAATTGCTTGAAATATTCTCGTCGAAAATTTCCCTATCCAGATTTCAACTAGAGTAGTATTTTTTTTTTTTTTTACAGGATTAGCTTACTCAAATGACACAAAGGTACCTGACCAAGCATTACACAACACCCCATCAGCAAATGCGCAAATCTAGCTCGCTTAATCAAATTAATCAAATGCCATATTCATCCAATTAATCACTACCTACCAAGCAAAACTCAAATGCTATCCATTACCTGGGGTCTGCTAATGAATCATTTGCTAACAAACTAGCCTCCAAATCACTACTGTGTACCTTAAATTTGCTAATTTGATAGAGTAATCAACAACCATTACTAAGTATAGCAGAATTTAATATTCCAAGAATCCAAATTTGTTAATCGAAGTTCAATTTTTTCTGCGGAATTTCATCAAACACCTGATGTGAATACTCTAAAAACTCCATCTTTCACTTACACAACCACATTTCTAAGACCCTTGTTCCTATTCTTGATTTTATGGTTTTTTTTTTTTTTTTTTTTTTTTCTCATACCCACAAAATTCAATTAATCAATCAAATAAAAATGACCCTTCATTAAATTTTTAATACACAAAATTTATTTTCACTTACATTGATACTAGGATTAGAGAGGATTATATTATACTCAAAATCATTAGCTGCTATAATTTTAATAAATTATAAAGAAATAAACCAAAGTTTAAAATGCAAAATAGTTGAGTTTACAAGAAAAAAGGGCACAATATAAGAAACATGAAAGAAGAAGCTTTACCTGCCGATATTCTTAGCCGGAGGAGATCTTTGCAGAGTTGGGAGAGAGAAAGATGGACTAATACATGGTTTTTTTATTTTTTTTAATACATCAGAACATGTTCTGTGACTTGATCTCATATACAGAAGACACTGATAACTGATACTCAGAGTTCTGATGTATTATTTTGTATCTAACTATATATACACTTCCATGGTATTACAAAAAATTCAACTATTACAAAAAATGAAACTTGCCTAATCAACATGAAACTAGCACCGAGTATTGTGTATTTTCGTGATGAACTTAAATTTCAAAGAAAACTAAAAAAAACTCAGGCTCTAATTGTACCCCAATGTCCACACAGGTACTGAGTATATCAAGGTTCCCAAGCCAAATGATATCAGGAGGGTGATCAATGCATATACGTATGCCCTCCAAGGATGACTGCTCTCTCTCATTGCATTATATTCGGCCATGAATGTGGAGACAGTACTTAGGCATCCCAAGAGGCCAAATTGTATCCCTGAGGAAACCGTGTCACAATCCTTTGTACTGACCTACACCAAGTACACAAAAACTTTCAGATACTCGGCTAATGGACTACCAATAAAGCTTAGCAATACTTTTAAAGCATTGAGCACATACTTCTATTTTTCAACATCTAAACTGAAAAATTCATAAACTCAAATTCAACAACAAAGGTGTGCAAGATTGCAAGTGTTTAGCCAAGGATCAAGAGCAGCCACAAAAAATGTCAAAATGGATTAAAAGATTAAGCAATGAGGCAACTGATGCTAACAAACATCTAATGAGGCAACCATGTATCTAATTTTGAGAGTATTTAAAGCAACCACAATTGCCTGCAATAAGCCTTAAAGGCACATCAACCAAGCCCACTATATAATTGTATGAGTAAATAGAAAAAAACATCACCGCTTTTTTCACAGTAGCAAGAGCTGCCATCACGCATGCTGCGGACACATTAACAGCCAATGTCCCAAATGGGATCCATTTCCACCTTCCTGCTTTCCCCAATCCACGTCCATTGAATCGAGCAAGCCACCACCTCAACCAAACCCCGAAAGGACCGACTAGACATCCAACCAAAAGTTGAGCACCACTGCCGCCATTTTTAAATTCTTTGTTCTCCAAGATCCCACTTGTGGTCCACAAACCAACCCACACCAACATTAATACTGTTAGTACTATCAAGTGACTCTTAAAGTTATTCACCCTCAACTTACTGAAGCTTGAACTATTTCCAGTCCTTTCAAGAAGCCACCTAAAACCCTTAGCTGTCTCGATTCCAACAATAATAGAATAAGCAGCAAGAAACAACCCTGCAAGTAACAAAAGGTGAGGATATACTGAGATCATAGATGATGAAATTTCTATGTACTTACTGAAAAAATATTTATAAACAAAGTAACAAAGCCATGGCCATAGTTAATATACCACAAAGGTCACAACTCACAAGTAACAAATCCCAATGACAACATTTCCATACAAAACAATTACCTACGAGAAAGCCCAATACAGCGAATACCCAATGCCCATTGACGCTAAGATCGAGCATTTTCTGATTCCAACCACTGAAGGTGGTAAGGCTTCCAAGATAACCAGTGGAAAGTCCGACTGCAAGGTGATCTGACATGTGTGATATCTTGCCTTTGAATATTACACCCAACCATCCCATTAAAAATGAACCCAACCTGCAAAATGCCCAAAGTTCTGTAAGAAAACATAACCAGTCCTATTGTCTTTAGAGGCAAAAGAACCAATTTTAGAGAAACAGTTGTTTAGAAAATTTCAAGATGCATAGAAGAGAAAACTAGAACCTTCTCCTAAGGAGCTTGCACACCTGAAAGTTGGTTACTTCTTCAATTCTACACATCTAGCGAATTGAATCGAAAGGATGGTCTATCATGTAAGCAATTCAATTAGAAAAAGAATAATACCATGTTAGATGGTAGATCAAGATATAGGATGCTCTTGTCACTCGTCACACCTATAACACTAGAGCCAAACAGTTTCTGTAGTAGAAACCTGGTAAGAACCTGCAAATCAGATATTGCTAAGTGAAAGACTCAAGATACAATCCAACTTGCAAAAGCCTGAAGTCATTACACGGTGAGATTTGAGAAACACAGAACAACTACATAAAATTCTCCTTACTGCAAGAAAATCATGGATGATGATAAAAGCTCTTACCCCAAGAATTCCAAAGACAGACAAATGTATGAGGTAGGCACAATATTCAAAAAGTGGTGCAGCTCCTTCTTCTCCTCCTGTAGTCAAATAATGCACAACATGAAGTTGAAGCAAATGAACCAGTCACATTAAACAATGATTCAAGCAAAAGGAGAAGCCTATATCTAAAAGTGAGCTTACTTGTTTATTGTGCAAGAGAGCACTTGTGGAGAGTGGAGTTATGATTTCAGACACCAATGGTGATACTGGAGATATGGTGTTTTGTGGTGTGATCATGAGACCAAAAGCCATATGAATCCAGTAATTCTTCTGCATTTGGAAAAGCGATCCCTCGTTCCATGGATGATTGGACGCTCTGCCTCTGACTTCCTCTTCTGCTAACTATCCTATCTCCAATATCCCCAGCCAATGAAACAGATTCGTTTTCTACATCCTCGTCCAGATAAGGGCGAGAAGCACCTGACAGGCTAAATAATCTTCGCAGTGAGGCACCACTGCTGCTTGCTTGAGCTATTGAGTCACCACGTGTCAGCTGATTTCCAGGTCCATTTTCTGCAGCATTTTCCACAGACAATAGGAGACCACTAGCCAAGTGATGTTGTTAACATCAAGTGCCTGGTCTCCAAGTTCTGCTGGAGAAAGATTATCATTTGAATGTGAGTTAAATCCAGCAGGCAAGACTAAAAGAAAGGCCTCCAACCGATAAACTGGAACTGTCAGTTTCGTCCCAGAGAAGCACTATGCGTTTCTTGTGAATCGGTAGTTACATGTTCTGCACTGATCTGGTCAGATTCAACGGCAGCCATTGTCCGTACTAGAAGCAGGAAGAAAATCATCAGGTTTTAGTATCCTTGACAAAGTGGACAAAGGACATAGATGTGAGACCAAGGTTTAACATCTACCCCAACTTGTTTTCTTATTATTTAGTAATAGTGCATTAGAATAGTAGGATGATTTTATGGTATAATCATGAAAATGTAAAACAGACAGAAAAGAAACGATAGAGATGACAAGATTGGATAATTATTCTATAGCATTAATCTGCTGGAAATCAGCCAATAATCATGAAGCAGGTAGCATAAATTATTGTTATACAAGTATATGTTATTAGTTGTAATGGTCAGTTGAAAACAATAAACATACATGTACGACTTTCAAACGATAGTAGACTCCAAGAAGATAGTGACAAATTCATAAATCATTCTGATGGATCAAATAATAGTATAAGCTTCTAATCCAAATGAGGTGATATAAACAAGAGTGAGTATTAATAAGTAAAGCTCAAACTCCGTATTACATTTGATGATTAGAAAGAAAGAAATTAGTGGTAATATGCAAATTAACAAGTATATTAATGATTGATATAATAATATCACAAAAAAAAACAGAATTTTAAGGTGATGACATAGAGGAGTTGTAAAAAGGAAATAAAGACAAAATGGAAGATGTGTCCTCCATTAACAAGGCAAAAAGTCCCCTCAACAATTAATTTATTTAACCTATTAAAAAGTTAAAACTAATTGATTAATAGGAATAGCAAATCATCAAATAAGAGAGAAAAAGAAAGGGAAAAAATAATAAATTCTAACCTTGATATATATAGGGATGAGATAACCACTATTAATAGATCAATAGATGCTTGTTGTATAAATTGAGGAAGCCAGAGTCGGATTTAGAGTGAGAGATCAGGGGGTGGTACTGTTTGCAGCCACGAGAAGGGTCCGTGCTAGGTGGTCGGTGGACAATTATGCACAATTTTTTTACTCCGGATATAATATTTAGTATACGTCCGTTTTCCTGAGTGCTACCCATTTACCTTTTTATAAAGTCAAAGTTTTAAAATGTCACCAACTTTTATATGTGGCCGGCCACATATGAGATTTACTCAGTGACTACTCGATTAGTTTTATAGGAGTTATTTTGTTATTTTACAAACGGGCATATGGTGTAACCAACCACATACAATATCTTATTGTGTATATATAAGAAAAAAGATGATATAAGTGAGTAGCACTTAGGAGAAAGGAGAAATAAATTTTTTTTTGTAATCTCTAACTATCATTTTATATACTCTCTACATAACTTTTTTATTACGTAGTAAAATCTTTATTGGAAAAAAAAAAAAAACTCTTTCAAAGTTAAATTGAACAAATATATTGAATCGTTAATGACTCGTACCCATTATCAAATTGAATTGTAAAACAATTTGAACTAATCAAGTTCGAACTCGAAGTAACTCGACGACACTGCTCTTAAATTATTTAAAGCCGTTCATTGTGTTTGTATTTTAAATATAAAAAATAGATTAATACACATATTATAAACTTTTATTTTTTGTAGAACATAGATTTCAATTTTAATTGATAGAGCTCCCAATGTAACTCAATCTTGACAAAAAAGAAAAAAAAAAAAAAAAACTATGTATTAGTCCATCTTTCTCTCTCCCGACTCTGCAAAGATCTCCTCCGGCTAAGAATATCGGCAGGTAAAGCTTCTTCTTTCATGTTTCTTATATTGTGCCCTTTTTTCTTGTGAACTCACTATTTTGCATTTTAAACTTTGGTTTATTTCTTTATAATATATTAAAATTATAGCAGCTAATGATTTTGAGTATAATACAATCCTCTCTAATACTAGTATCAATGTAAGTGAAAATAAATTTTGTGTATTAAAAATTTAATGAAGGGTCATTTTTATTTGATTGATTAATTGAATTTGTGGGTATGAGAAAAAAAAAACCCATAAAATCAAGAATAGGAACAAGGGTCTTAGAAATGTGGTTGTGCATGTGAAAGATTGAGTTTTTAGAGTATGCACATCAGGTGTTTGATGAAATTCCGCTGAAAAAATTGAACTTTGATTAACAAATTTGGATTCTTGGAATATTAAATTCTGCTAAACTTAGTAATGGTTGTTGATTACTCTATCAAATTAGCAAATTTAAGGTACACAGTAGTGATTTGGAGGCTAGTTTGTTAGCAGATGATTCATTAGCAGACCCCAGGTAGTGGATAGCATTTGAGTTTTGCTTGGTAGGTAGTGATTAATTGGATGAATAATGGCATTTGATTAATTTGATTACGCGAGCTAGATTTGCGCATTTGCTGATGGGGTGTTGTGTAATGCTTGATCAGGTACCTTTGTGTCATTTGAGTAAGCTAATCCTGTAAAAAAATACTATTCTAGTTGAAATCTGGAAAGGGAAATTTTCGACTAGAATATTTCAAGCAATTAGCTAGGTTTGAAAGAAACCATTGTTTGATGGCGTTGAGACGTGCTCTTGGGTGGTCTGATGGTGAGCTCATGCGATCAGATGCGAAGCCTTGCTCAAGATTAATGAGATAAACAGCTGGAATTTTTACAGTTGGTGGAGCATTGGGTTTTGGGTTTGTGTAGAATGCACTATGGTATGTGTTTTTATTTTTTTTGCTTCTATCGATCTTAATCTGCTTCATTACAAGTTTGCACTACTCTTTACTACATGGTGTATACTGATTTATACCAGCTAACACACTGTATTTCGCATTAAAAAAGAGATCAACTTATGAGGAACTGCGTCACTTTTATGTAGTAAACAAATCTGGAGAAATTTATGGTGCCTCTGTCCTCTGAACTTTTGTTCGTGGCGATAGCTATTATACTTAAAACTATACAAGGTCCTTATAGTTTTGGCACCTATTTGTACTACAATATTCTATTTACCCTGTTTATGATATTTAATCTCAATTGATTTAACTCCTCTCCCTTCACCCACCTGGTTGGAGAACTCATTCCTTAGATAATGTTTGAAGTTTCTCTCCAAATCCTTTTGGTAGTGCTCATGGACTCTCACCCTCATTTACCCCAAACCACACCAAGAAGCCTTTTGGACAAATATGAGTGCTCTATTCCTCCTTTCTCATAAGCAAATTCAATGTTCAAGACCAGGAAGAACATCTACAGTTGGGGGAATGTTTTAACTTGCAAAAGTTATTCATTTCTTTTTAAAGTTCGAACAAGGGCATTGCATAGATGAGAATGAAATAAGAAAATCCAAAACATATGCATACCATGTAGGATTCCCCATTTCTCCCATCTTTTTTGGATAATTACCTCTAATGGTCATTTGGTTGTAAGCAGATATACTTTGTAATCTTATTACTTAAACTTTCCGATGTGCCCTCTTGTGATTTTCACTTGGATTAGCTCCCACCTT